ATTATAATATCAGAGTTGCGGCTCAACCGAATCAGTTCGGCGAGTTTGTTGTAAAAATTCGTCCTTTTGTGAAGCGGGACTGCAGTTGGTTGGTGCATACGCCAAAATGATGAACAAACACCTTTTGGTGTTGCTACGCTTCCGAACACTAACTGATCGCTTTAGCCTCATTGCGCATAGACGACTATTGACAAGTATCCAATCTATCATAGAAGCTTCAGCTTTATCCTTTAGTACGATAACTACACCACGCTGACCCAGTGAGCGGGCTGCATCGTCTCCTGATGTGCGAAGGGAATACTTCGAGGACAGACCCGGCGCACTCAGGTGGCTTATAATACTAGGTTCCTGAATTCGTGTCTCCGATATGCAACAGGCATCGATTTCTAGAGACTGCACCGTACGCGCAAGACACGCCTGTTGACCCACCTGCATAAGAGTCCTCACGTTGAAAGCCCTCAGATTGAGAGGTTGATGAGGCTTCAGAATTTACTATCTATTTACAGGAAAACTAGTGACAGTGCTATTTGGCAAAGACGACCAAGTTGTCTGAGGGAATATCACGGGTCGGAAGAAGGGATAAAGGGATAGGGTTGGGTACGGAAGACAAAGAGTTAATCAAAGGTTAGGATATCTGAGCAGTAGCCCACTTATTACTACCCACCCCGCTCGATGCAATGGACGGTGCGGTCCTGATAATACTGCGCGACGACCGATGCAGTATGAAATTATTTTTTGTTTGTGTTCATTGGAGCTTTATGGTCGGGGACTGCCAGGGTGTCCAGCCATTAAGAAGGAGAACGATTAGGGTTCTCAACCAAAGCCTTTAGTTTTGACAAAAACCTAACCGAAAGGTAGCGGTTAAGGCAGATTGGAGGCCCATTAACTTGGATCAATTATTCCTCCATCACGTTTTATCGACTGAGACGCCTACTCAAGTCGAAGCCCCAACCTGGAGGACCAGGAGACTGGATTTCGCCTGACCTCTACCCATTAACCTTCCAGGCATGATTAGATCTTTGGCTCAGTAAAAGCCATCCTGTGTAGCTTGTTGGATCAGAGAGGTGCACAAGCCATCAAACCGCGTGCAGTATAGTCGACTGTGACCCACCTTGTAGGATAGAAACCGCCAATGCAGTCTCTCTGAAAGGTAGGAAGGCCTCTGGCAAAGACGGGATACTCAAAGCTTGCCTATCAACTCTGATCGATCCACTGCACTTTACTTGGTGAAGAGAAGTATTTCCTAAAGAATGAGCAACTTCAATTCTAATCCCTGTTCCAAAAACGGCGACAGATCAAGATGTGAAAATTATAGGGGTATTAACCTCATTGATACTGTGGCCAAATTATTCGTTGTAATACCATTTAATCGCTTCACAGTCATCAGAGACATCTGAACCCGCCCGAACCAGGGGGGGTTCGCCATAATAGAGAGTGTTGCACAACTCTTCACTCTACGCAGGATTTCGGAACACCTCTACAATTTCCAACAAACAACTACAGCATGTTTCATCGACATCCGCAATGCCTTTGATTTTGTCCGTAGTGGTGCACATTGCGGTCCGAGAAGTTCATCGGGCTTTCAAAGTCGGACTATTCGGGGATCCGGGCACGCGTCCGTACCTACGGGGAAGAAGTAGCTGAGTTTACACCGAACTCTGGAGTCAGGCAATGTTGTCCCTATCGCCGGTGTTATTCAATTGCACCGTAGTTTGGACTGGTGGCCGACAGCTTTGTTATCGTCCGGTTCAATACCACGCCTATCCTAGCAAGACCTTATGTGGTTTGCCACTCTAGGGCTTGGGTTACCAGTTTCCATCGCTGAATAGCAGGTCTTCGAGAATATTTGGCTTTACCCGTCTGCTGTTCATCACTAAGGTGAGTAATAAAAAACGTGACAAGCACTCGTCGATTACCCCGGAACGCAGCTTGATGCAGGTAAATTTCGGACTTCGAGTTTGCGGAATTCTTCGTACTTGAGGACATCATGGGCAACCCTCTGCTTGTTTTCAGTCGCATTAATCAGCTTGCTCAGACCACTAGACTAGGGACCAACACGTCGGAAACCAAGCCATTTTCGATCGAAACTTCTGTCACGACACAATCCCTCTCGATTGACGGGGGGCTACCGGACCAACCCGTTTTCAAGTATCTTGGCTCTACATTGAAACCAAACGGCTAAGCTAAAGATGAAACTTCTTGTGGATGGAACCAGGACAACAGTCCTGAAACTCCTCAAACCGTTATGATAAGGATGTGAAATAAGCCTAAACATTAAGCTTCGGATTTATCAGGCTTCTATCCACTCAACCTCAATAATGGTTGTGAGGTAAGACGGCGAAGAGCACAAGATACAAGAAAGCTCGAGGTCTTTGATCATTGGTGATTACACTTTGTCTTGAAGGCAAATTGGATAGATCAGGTTTCCAATCATGAGATTCAATTGCGTTGTACGAATATCAACAAGCTTTCCAGAATGTCACAATGCCGGCGCACTCAGGGGTTTGGTTATGTGCTCCGAATGGCCAATGCTTAACTTTCACAACAGGCTGTAGCCCATGCATTGTGCCGTGGATGGCGTTACCCGCCCGGTGGTCAATTGGAGCAGTACGATCAAGGTGGATTTCGAATTACTGGGCCTCCAGTCCGTATAGGGAATTACTAAATGGAAACAGAACTGGGTTTATCACACTGCATCAACCTTGCCAAGGATTGTCACGCGTGGGCTGTCATAATTAGGCATCTAAGAAGCCGAATTATCTCCCGCAAGAGTTAGTCGTGCAAAAGTAAATAAAGTGGAAAGCAAAAAAACATTAAGTACGTTTGAAGACGTGCCTCTAAGAATGTTGTCTGTGGCCAATAGTTAAAAAACAAAATTACATGCGAAAAGTATCCACGAAAACACTAAAAACTTACTCGGTCTCAAACTGATTGGGTAAAATAACATCCGGTAAAGGCAGCAGTTTTTCTTTGTAAATCGGTATCAATTCCGCGGGAACGTACAGCTCACCCGGGAAATTGCGTAGTATTGGGAACCTGCTGATCGATTGCGGGGCCTCATACCTAATTTCAGGGACCATTTTTGTTATAACGCCTCCGGAAGCTTCAGTGGAGGGTGGGTGCCTCGGGTTGCGGCTGGTCACCCTTCCCTTTCACCTCGCGAAATGTTCCCACGGGCAAAAGCGTCTCAAATAACTCTTACTGAGGAAGCCCTAAACACTGCATTCCCGCGGCGGTTTGCCCACCAAAGTAAGAAAACGAAGTGCCAATATTTGAGACTGTAACCCGGTCAGTGAACCGCTAACAATTCACTTAGGGCAGTTGGTTAAAACTGTTTCCAACTCCACGAACCCGCGGCTTCCTGGTCGTGATAGTGGTCACCTTGGACGTTTGATCCTGTGCAAAGAGTGTATGATCCAATGAACTGGATAACTGTCCCCAATGGATTGCAGTTTTTACACAAAACGCTCCGCTGCCTTGGTGGTCAAGCTGTACCTAGTCGAAGGCTCCGGTTTTGGATTTCTGCCTTGACCTGGGCAACCTGGCAGTATTCGGCCCACATACAAATCATGGAACATTTTTCCTTTTTATGAAGATTATTGTACCACGATTTGTGTGGCAGTCTGGATTCAGACGTGTGTAAAATATATCATATGTAATATACTCTAGCAGTACCCGCCCACCAAAACCCAATGCAATGCATACACAAACAAAAAATAATTCCATACAGCATCGGTCGTCGCGCAGGATGGTCAGGACCGCGCTGCCCGCTGGATTGAGCGCGGTGGGTAGTGATAAGTGGGCTACTGTTAAGATATTCCAACCTTTGTTTATCTCTGCCTTCCGTACCCCGCCCTCTCTCGTCTCCCCTTCCTCCGACCAGTAATAGTCCCTCCTGCATCTTCGATATCGTTCAAAAAAGATCGTTGCCAAGTAGCACCGTAAAACGTTTAACACGAAATAGATTGTAGATTCTGAAGCCTACTGAATCTCTGAATTTTCGGGCCTTCAACGTGAGGACCCTGAGATAAGCTTGTCTGGTACGTACAATGGAATCCTTAGAGATCGATATTTGCCGCGTAACGGAAACGGGAACCGAGGATTCTATTACTATAAACTACTTGAACACAGCAGAGTTGCACGTTGATCACACATCAGGTGACGACGACGGCCGTTCAGAAGGTCAGCACGGGGTAGGTATTGTACTCAGTAACAGGGCTGAGCCCGGTTATCGATTGGATCCCCGTAAACGGTCGCTTGTGAGCGATGCGCATCCAAGGATCTATCAGCGTCCGGAAGGGAAGTAACACCAAAAGGTGTTCATCGTTCATTGTTCATTATTTTAGCGTACGCACCGACCAATTGCAGTTGATCAACAGTTGTAGTGTTCCTGGACCTGAAAGGAGCCATCGACTTAGTTGACCGCAAAGCACTAATTGGCTCCCTTCTTCCAAATGGGATGCCCCAAAATTATGCTAACGTGCTGAGGTCACTGTACTCACATAACTCTAGTCGAGTGAGGGTTTACAACGAACTAAGTAGGCCGTTAGTCACTAGCAGCGGTGTTTGTCAAGGGTTCCCTCTTTCACCATTCCTGTTCAACGAAATACTGGAGGACGCTCTTAGTGGTCTCCAAAACGTAGGTATTGAATGGGCAGCTGGAGAAAATCTGTGCGATTTAGAGTACACCAATGACATCGTCTGTCTGTTCGAATGTATGGAGGACACGCAAAGCACATTTGATAGACAAATGCAGTTGCCACATTCGGTATGTGCTTTACACCTTCAAAGTGCAAAGTGATGCTGCAGAAATGGGTTTGGCCTACTCCCGCTCTGAAAATAAATGGTCAGGAATTAGTTATAGTAAATTGCCTTTCCTACTTAAGCAGTTGTGTGACTAATGATGGTAGCGTAGCAAAAGGAGATAAACGATCGCATTTCCAAGGCTCGAGCAGCGTACACCGGACTGAAACACCTGTGGTGTGGGCGCGGCGTTTAACTTAAGATGAAAGGTCGTGTGTAATGTGCTACCGTTTGTTCAGTTCTGTCTTATGGTTATGAGACCTTAAATTTGCGAGTAGAAAATATCCATCGACTAGAAGTTTTCGATTATTGATGTCTAGGTAGTTTGATTCGCGTAGGATAGAACGAACGGGTTAGTAATTAGGAGTTAAGCCGTTGTGTCCTCAGGAGTTTGTCAGGGACAAACCTGACACCTTTGTATATTCAGATTACTAGGCTTAGCTGTCTGGGGAACGTATTGTCCAGCTGTCGTCTGCAGTACCGCGCTTTATTCGCTGCAGCCGCTCCGGGCTAGAGGAAACCCCGTGGAGGTCAACTAATGAGGTGGAAGAGGCATGAAGAAAAGCATAGAGCCATTAGGTAAAGTAGGTGTCTCTCGCCTTCCAGATTGGGGTCTGAAAGACTCCGCAACTGGCTGGTTAGAGACACTGAACGATATGGCAGCGAACTGATAGCAGTGGTGTTCTTGTCATTTCTTCTCAGGTCAGAATGCTTGAAACGGTATATATGCAGAGTTTGTTTGTGTACTCTGTGTTGACCACAGAGCATCTTCTTTCTCCTCCTTCAAAATATGTTCAATCCCTGTTCACCTTAGATGTTACCACTGACTTTGTGTGCATTGAGTTTGGTAGCGATCAGTGAAGTTTCCCTCACTGTACTTCGCTGTACGATGATGTTATATTTTATACTTGATGTTGTTTATAAAAGAGTATGGTACACACGACTTAGAAACATTGGTTACGGAACAAACATTGCAACTTCTGTGGAAAATCGAGTGAAGCCTAATAATTAACCAACACAATGGATACTAATCTGGTGCTTGGACGAACTCTTGGAGTAGTAAGGTATACACGGTCTATCTAGGATAGAGAGATGAACTATGCAAAAGACCAAACGCAAATGTCGCACTGCAACCCGTCAGTCAGAGAGTAAAAGCTGCTTCAATTTTCCGTCAAAGAGTTAAGTTTACAGATTTTATTGTCATCTATACTAGTGTATAGACATCTTCACACATGCCTGAGTTCAGATTGTGCCGAACAAATCACAGTACAGGTATTTTCATAAAAAGAAAGGTAAATGATTTAGTCGAGGGCGCAATACTGCTAGGTTGCCCAAGCCAAAGCAGG